TTTTCACAAGCCCAAAGAATTCTTATGAGATCCAGGGATTGAAATTGAAGGATCCACCTTAAAGAACAGGTTAGATACACCCCTCTCAATTCCCTGGTCCTAATTTTTCCCTAAACTTAACTTTGTCCTCTGTTCTCCCAATACCTTATACAGGTGTAAGAGGCACCAGACATTTCCATACCACAAACACTGGACAGGAACAAACAGATCAGCTATGCCAGGATGTGACCAGCATCCAGTTTTCTCAGGTTCTTCCCCAAAGATGATGCCCACAAAAAGCAGGAAGCAGTATTGCAAATTTGCTGCCCCAATTCCCTTAACCTGTGGTGCCTGACCTCTCATATTTTTATTATAAAAAAAAATGGGAATGTAATGATCTGTCCTGTCTCTTTAAAAGACAAGCCTTGCCCACTCCATCCTCCAACAGCTTCTGTCTCTCCCTTCTCTTTCTCTGTCCTCTCTTTCTCCTCTCTCTCTGTCTCTCTCTCTGCCTCTCTGCCCTTCTTCCCTTCTCCCTTTCCTTTCCATAGCCCACTAAATAAATATACAACCTCATTCTGTATAGTCTCTTCAGAGATCTGTGGCATGGTCTCAGGCACCATCCCTGTCTGGGACAGGCTACTCTGGGGACTGCTGCCTGCCCCTGCTAGGGGACCTGCAGCTACTTGGGATCTGCATCATTTTTCAATTAATCCATCACACTTAGCATCTTCTCTCTAGTTTTTAACCATTTGTATTTCCTCATTTTGGAGCTGTCTGCATTGTGATTTTACATTGATTTGTGGCCACACTGGGAAGAATGAGGAGAGTGTTCTATCAGTTTTGTTGATAATTCATGGATTGGTTGCCAATTACATTTATTTTTTTATGACTTAACTTTTTGGAGGTATAGTTAAAAAGACAGAGATTTTGATACGAAAAGACACAAATTTATTTAGTTTCCCAAATATATTTCATTACACATAATTTTTAGGACACCTGAAAATTTTCTTTTTAACAATGTATATAGATTTACAAATCTATTTATATCTATATTTTCATCTCATCATAATCTTAAACCATTTGGAAAACTAAAGTTTTATAAAACATGCAGGAATTATGCCATGTAAGTCAATTACCACATTGAATATTAAATCTTTAGCCACATAAAAATAATAATTTACATAACTATCAATTCAGTTATTCAATAAATGCTGAATACAATTTCAGAAATATAAATAGAGCAATGAACTTATAAGCACAAGTTGATTCTCTTAAATTATCTGTATTTCAATAAAATTAAGGAAATAAAAACTAATAGGTAAACTAATGAAAGAAAACAAGAAAATACATTCTGCAACAGTTACAAATAAATGACTTAAAATCTATAGCTAATGGTAATATTTATGAAACAAGAAGTAAAAATATGGATGAAGAACAATAAAATTCAAGAAGTACAAGAGTATGATTTTATGTGGGGTAGACTACCAATGTAGAGGGTATAGGATCATGAAAGAATTATAAAATCATTAATTTAATTGTTGCCATTGTACAAAGAATGCCTTAGGAGGTCTTCGTCCATTTCTATGAGAGTTTATCTTGATCATATTGGTTTGTATGGACTCCCTATACTTTGTGGCAGGCCTCACTTCCTGAGCAGGATATTCTGGAATGCTTGACAGTGAATAGAGTAAGCTGATTACTAACATTCAAGCTGTGGTGATTTCAATGAAAATGGTCCCCTTAGGGTTTGGCCCTATTATGAGATTTGGCCCTGTTGGAGTAGGTGTGGTCTTGTTGAAGGAAGTGTCATTGGGGTTGTGAGCTTTTAGGTGTCAGAAGCTCAAGACAGGTCTGGTAATTTTCACTGCTGCCTGTTGATCTAGATTTAGAACTCTCAGCTACTTTTTCAGCATCGTGTTTGACTGCATGAAGCCATGCTTCATGACATGACAATAATGGAGTATATCTCTTAACTCTAAGCTGGGCCCAGTTAAATATTTTCTTTATAAAACTTTCTGTGGCTATGGTGTTTTTTCACAGCAATAGAAACCCTAATGAAGACACATGCATTTAACTGTCTATACTTCTTGAATATTGATATAATGTCTAAAGCTAACTTGATTTCCTGTTGCTGTGACTTCCCAATAATAATGATGCTCTGTAATCTGGAAATCTCTCCTAAAATAAAACAATTATTTTATAAGTTGTAAGGATATTTTATTACATCAATTATAAAAGTGATGAGACAGGAGTTGGCATCATAACTTTGGTCATCTCTGTAATAAATCTGATCACATGCATTTTAAGCCTATATAATTTTTTGTAGGAATGTAGAGGCATTTAGTCTGTTGAGCTAAAAATGCTACAGGATTTCAAAAGCAGAATGTAATGAACTGTGCTAATGAGTGTATTGAAAAGAGTAACCCTGAGAAAAATGTGGACACTGACAGTTCAGCTTCTGAGTTTTAGAGGGGAACAAGGACTTTATTGAGAGATGGTAGAGAGACCATGTTTTTAATACTTTGGCCAAGAATCTGGCTTTATTCCAAAAATTCATTTAAAATATGAGTAATGTAAATAAAATGCTGAAGATCATGCAATGTTTGTCTTTACAGATTTAGTTTAGTTTATATGGTGACATTTTATAATTCCACCCATGTACTTGAAAATTTGATAATTTCCTCTTTCTTTATTGTTTAATAGAATTTTTCTACTTTACTATAAATCATATAGGATTTCCTTCTAGAAAGTTCAACATTTCAGGATTTACATTGATTTCTTTGATACACTTGCAGCAACTTTTAAAATAGGGTTATATATTTAGGGACAATATTATTCTTCCTACAGGTGGACAACCAGTTTTCCAAACACCACTTGTAGAAGAAGCTTTCAGATCTTTTGTCAATATGAAATGGTTGTAACTATATATGCCCTTGCCAAACCTTTTATTTTGTTTCATTGGTCTATTTATCTGTTTTGTTTTCACAAGTTGCATCCTGGTTTTATTATTACATCTTTGTAATAAGTCTTGAAATGTAGAATAATAATCTTATCAGCACTGTAATTACTCCTGATTGGCTTAGCTATTTTGGGTCCACCTAAATTCTAGGATTTCTTTTCAATACTTATAAAAAATAACATGGATGATGGGTATTTTGATTGAATTTGAATTGAATCTCTTTATTTCTTTTGATAGAATGGTTGCTTCCACAATATTAATTCTACTAATTCTTGAGCATGGAAGATCACCCAATATTTTAGTGTTTCTCTTCTTCTTCTTCAGAGATTTAGTTTTCATTGTAGAGTTCTTTCACTTTCTTGCTTAGAATGATTCTTTATCTTTTTGAGGATATTGTGAATTGGAATTCTTCCATTACTTCAACATGCTTTTTGGTACACAGAAAGGATGTTGTTGTTGTTGCTTTGACTTGTTAAAATATCTCACATCAAGTTTAATTTTTGTTTGAGTTTTGTTCAGAAATTCTCTCTATTAAGTTCTATTTTTAAATGCTGAATTTTTCTTAATGCAATCATCAGTTTATTCACATTCTTGTAGTGTTCATTTCAGGATTAATTCATATTCTTTATTGAGTTTATTGATAACATTTATTATTTTTACTTTGAAATCATTGTCTTGTGTGTCATCTATATTCCATATAAATTGGGAGGATTAATTTTTGGAGAAGACATATTGTACTTATTTATGTTGGTGATGATTTTGATGTAACATTGTATCTCAATTTAAGTCATTGTTAGCTTTATTTAGTATGAATTATATATTCTTGTATAATATATCTATTGTCCATCTATATCTATCTATCTATCTATCTATCTATCTATCTATCTATCTATCATCTATCATCTGCCTATCTGTTTGTCTCTCTGTCTCTCTGTGTGTTTGTCAATCTGTCTGTATATTTATCTATCATCTATGTCCACTACTTTTAGTGAGATTTTGGATTTTCAATAGCCCTAACAAGAATTTTTTGGTAGGCAGAATATTGCCTAAGATTAAAGATTCACAAGTACTTGCTGTTGAAATTCTAATGAGTTTCCAAAAATGCTTCTAGATTGGCTTGTCAAATGACATTTCTGAATGCTGAAAGAAACCCTCCATTAAATTAGCTGGTTCTCACCATAGATTCTTTGAAATGTTGGAAGAATTACACATTTTTATGGGTAATCATTTTATCATTGGGCAATAAAAGCAGGCCTCTATTCTGTTCTCAATATACCTAAGCTTGTGTCACAACAATAAGAATTAGTGCTACCTGAAGAGGACACACAGGGCTCCTGTGAAGTCCACATGTGTCAGGATTTATGCTTGATTATAAATTTTAAACAATGATTTTCTCAGTTGACAGCATATCTGTCGAAGGGAAAAAAGAGAAGGAAGCTTGTATAATAATACTTATGTCACATGAAATGAAACTGATTATTGGCATATTAATGTCACTTACAGCCTTCAAAGTTGGGAATTTGTTATGCACCATTGTTACCCAAAATAGAGAAAGGCAGTTCTCCAAGTTCTGACCTCACATAATTTTGTTTAAACCTTTGTGAACAAAGCAGAAGAGATAAGTTTATATTGTTTATACTGACTACTCCTTGCTTATAAAATTGAATGTCTCTTTTCCATGATATAATTTGGTGAAGAATATTTAAATTTTAAAAACTTTTATTTTTAAATTAGGATCATAGAAAATGTCAGCATTCAAACAAAATTTGTCTGCCCAAGGAGCAGAATTAATTTAAGAAAGTTAAAGAAATATTACATTTTTTTTTCTTGTTTTGGTTTTCCAGACAGGGTTTCTCTGGGTAATTGCTCTGATGTCCTGGCACTAGATCTTCTAGATCAGGCTGACCTTGAACTCACAGAGATCAACCTTCCTCTGCCTCCTAAGTGCTGGGATTAAAGACATGCACCACCATGGCCAGGCCTTCTTTTCTTTTTCATGCAGAGAAGAATACATTTCTCAGTATGCAACTTTTCTAATGATTTTACTTGTGTTTTTCAGGAGAAGTAGAAAATCCCTCTGAAACAATTCCCAAATCATTGATTTTTGGTCTGCCTATTATAGCTGTGATTTACATATTGACTAATGTATCCTACCTGGCAGTTTTGACACCTCAGGAAATCATCGCTTCAGGTATGTCTGGGTATAAACAATCACAGATACAAATGTCTTTAATCGTGTGATGAGCTTTTAGTTCTCTTGCACACAAATACTACAGCCTCTAAATAACTCACTCTTAGGTTCAAAACAGACACCTTCTGCCTTCCACATGCCTCCTGGGTACTCTTATCCTCATAATCCTCTCTTGCAGTCTAGTTGAATTTATTTTAAATTCTATACCCCATGCACAAAAAGGCTTTTTAGAATTTATGACTGTCTCATTATGGAGAGCTTGAAGATCACATAAAATCTTGAAATAGAATGGAAGACCATATTCAAAATCAGAATTAAGTGGATACCTTTTGGATTTAGTTAAAAGATAACCTTTAGAAGCACAGTTTAACAATTGTAGCTTTGCAAATATAGGTGAATAACTCTAGATGTATAAACACTTGTGATGGAAGGAGGGGTAGAACTAATTGAGAATCAAATAGGAATGGACAAGTATAAGAAGTTAAGATCTTCCAGGCCAAGCCGAGAAGGACGAGCCTGGAAGCTACCTGGTGTTGTCAAAGACACTGATCATGTCTAGCCAATAAGGGGTGATTATGGGATATTTCCTGAAGGCCTAGAAACAGGTGCTGTCAGAGGTCCTTATCTTGCCTAGCCAATGAGAGCTGACCACTGTGATGTCAATGGATAGGAAGGCCTGGGTGATGGAATGATATATAAGGTTTTTTTTTCCATTGTAAAATAAATGAGTTTGCCCTATTCCTTTCACTGTACTTTCAGTGACTGTGTCCATTGATGTCAAGCTTTCTCATGCTCTTCCCCAAGGAAAACATTAGGGCCCAGCAACAAAAAATTACTAAAAAAAATCATATAACTGTAACAATAAATTTTAACAGTAGCTTATAATCTTTAATTTTAATTCTTTTTGGTTTTCTGAGACAGGTTTTCTCTGTAGCTTTGGAACCTGTTCTAGAACTTGCTCTGTGAACCAGTCTGTCTTTGAACCTATAGAATCCACCTGTCTCTGCCTCCTATGTTCTAGGATTAAAGAGATTCACCACCATCTCACAGCTCTATAATCAGTATTTATATACACAGGGTGGATAATTTTTTAACCATGTCAGATAAAGTCAGATAACGAATTTATTGCTATTTTCCTAATATCAGATATACATATTAGTTAAGTGCTGTGGATTATGCTCATTGTTAACTAAAAGATCATTGGCTTATTTCTGGGCAGTTAGAGATTGAGTTAGAGATCCAAAAATTAAGATAACTCTGGGAAGAGGAAGGGCAGAGCCAGAGGGTCACTGGAAATAAAGAGAAGAAACATGAGAAAGATTGTACTGAGAAAAAGTACCAAGCCACGTGAACAAACATTATTATTGGTTAATTTAAGTGTAAGAAATAACTAGTAGTAAGTCTTCTTGTTGTTAATTATAAGTAATATAAGCCTCTGTGTGGTAATGCAAGAAGTTACTGCTGGATATTTTTAACCAAGTGACTTCAAGAGAGGAAATGTCCATTTATATATGGTGCCCAATTTGGGCAAGAATTTCCATACAAAGTCTGTAAAAGCATTAAAAAAGGATTCTAAATATACAAAAAGTCTTCTTAGTAACCACTTTTTCTTATGTAGGCTCTAGTTTCTAAGTGACAAGCAGAGGCACAACTCCATTAGAAGATGGCTTCCTGACAGAGTGCTTTTGGCAAAAACTGCATGGCTCTTTTAAGAAACTCTGCTACTGAGTACTTAAATGTGGTTTTTGAGCAGTGGGTGGTTTGCTACTTAGTGGTAGTGTGGACTTAGACACATTGCAGTGTTGGAGTGATAAACATGGCTCCAGCTTTTGCCTTCACCATTAAGCTAGATTCTCATCTCAGGAAGCTAAGGAATGGGATAGTGCCAATTTCCAAAGCTGCAAATTATTAGTCATCTATAATAGCAAACTTATAGTCATATTAATTAGGTTTCCAAAGTCATACAGAAATATATTTCAGATAGATAGACAGCCTTTAAACACTTCAAAGACCTACAGAATATGTGATTTAAATTGCTTTAAGAGCTTAGACTTTTATTGATATTGAGACTCATCTGCTCCTGGTGGCACCAACTACTTCAAAGAGAATAATTGGCTTTGAAGAAACTTCATATGTTGGGTTTTTTTTTTCTTTATGGCAAAAGATATGGGTAAAGAAACTACCCTTGCCACAATTGCTTACAGTTTCTGTAAAAACTGGACCAAAAGCATGCAAGAAAGGTGACTGCCAAATTTTGTCAAGAGAATATAGAACAGTTCTTCAAAATTCCCTGCTTCCCAGCAAAGCCTGTCAGATATGCTAGGCCTGGAAACTAGACTTCGATGATCCAATGTTGCAGAGGAATTTTGGATGACTGTACAGGCAGCATAAGGTCCCTGTCAGAAGTTAACTTTATAACCTTTCTATAGACTTTGATGGAGTTAAAGACTAGATATTCATATTTACATTTTTCTTAGTTATAACAAAAGATAAATTAGATGTGAAAGTTTAGGTTTACCAGGATAAAATAGATAATAGAGTATTTTCTCTAATTTTGTAAAATACAAATAGACTGACTATTGTTACTATAATTTTTGCTTACCAACTGTTTTTGTTGTATACAAGTTTACTAAGTTAAGGTTAAAATCATTAATTAGATAAAAGGGGGAAAGCTGTGTATTATGCTCATTGTTAAATAAAAGTTGATTGGCTGATACCTGGGCAGGAAGTGATTGAAAACAAAAGCCAGATAAGGATAATTTTGGGAAGAAAAATGGCAGAGTAGGAGAATTACTGGAAAATATAGAGAAGCAAGAGGAGAATGCTGTACTGAGAAAATGTATCAGGCCACATGGCTAAACAATGATAAGAATTATGGATTAATTTAAGCATATGAGTTAGCTAGAAACAAGCCTGAGTTATTAGCAAAGTATTTATACATAATATAACCCTGAGGTAATTTGTGAAATGGCTTCTGGGTATTTGGGACCAAGCAGCTCCAGGACAGGAAACATCCATTTATACATAAACATATTTTATTTCCATTGGGAAAAAATCTTTCAACTTATAAATTATAATTTATGAATATTTTAGTCACTGTTTTAATTACCCATGGTGTTCCTATCAATTCTCCAAAAATTTTATGACAAAAATTGTCCATTTGTTTAATCCACAAATCTATAGGATAAATTTTTATTGTGGGTCCGGAAAATTGCTTCTATCTTTCATAGGGTCTGTAAATACTCTGGAGACTGCTGCAGCTTGGAAATCATATGCCCTGAAGTTTAAAATATACTGAGCTCTTAAGTTTAAGTGGCTCACTATCCTTTAATTAGAAAATTCTAGAATATGTGCGTTATTGTATTAGTGCAAATGTTTGTATTTGGAAAAATAGGAAACGACAAAAATATGAAAATCATGGATATATTGGAACTGGATAATTGATTCCCATTATTTATTAGATAGGAGAAAGGAATAACAAGAGGCCTTTAGCAAAATAAATTCATCCAAAAAATAAATGATGCTTCAAGTGATTTCCACATGAGGTCATGAGGTGTGAACAGTCTGACAGATAAATAATATTTGCTCAGTTTCTACACCTGATGTGGCAGTGAAGCAGCTGAGTGACACTATTTGAATGTCAAATGTCCCCTATATGCTTAACTGTTTGATTATTTGGACTCCAGATCATGAAATTACTCTGAAATCTATAGAAACTTTCAGATGCAGATCCTTGCTGAAGAAACTGAATCATTTTTGAATTTAACGGATCAGATTCCTTTATGTCTACTTTCTGACTAAAGATTCATTGTGATCAAATGCCTCATAATTTTTCTTTCAAACCTTGTCTGATATTGTGCACTATGTACTACAAAACTGTAAGCTAAAATAGAGTCTTCTTAAGTTTGTTTTTATCATTATTTGGTCACAATAAGAAGACTAGTGACTAATACAGTAAATCATGGAACACATGCTTTACAGAGTATGTTGTACATAGTCACGGCTTCATCTCCTCACAAACTATCTAATATTCTCAATTTATCAGGTATCCAGTTTACCAATTAAGAGGGCAAGAATTCTGCAATATCAGGGAATGGACTGAATGCTGGGACATAAAGACTTTTAATGCCTTTTACTTATTAAATGAAATCACAAGGATTAGTCTGAAACAAGAATGAGTAAAGTAACTCCCTCTTTTGGTAGAAGCACCCAAGTTTCATTGATCATGAAGGAAAGAACATAGGGTTATCACTGTATTCTTAATAAGCAAAATATCTTTCATTCTTGAATTTCTGTTTAATTTTTGTAGATTCTGTTGCGGTCACATGGATGAACAGAGTGTCACCTTCCATGCAATGGGTCGTTTCTTTGGCCATCTCAATTTCTATACTGAACAACACTGGCTGTGGAGTACTTTCAGCCTCAAGGGTTTTCTATTCTGCAAGCCAAGAAGGACAGCTTCCTTTAATTTACTCGATGCTTAATGACCACCACTGCCCAGTTGTAGCTATCACTCAAATTATCATATTATCATCTTTGGCAATAATACCTTTGAATTTAATCTATGTGGTAAAATATTTAGGACTAACATACTTTATTGGAAATGGACTACATATGATAGCTTTACTTAAACTGAGGTACAAGGACCCAGACCTACCTAGGCCTTATAAGGTAAATCAAAGTATGAACATTAAATTTATATAAAGAATAATGAAAGAAAATGTTTTAAATTAACCAATTAATTTAAAATCCCAGTTACAGCCTCCTCTCCTCCTAGTGCCTTCTATAAATCCCCCTCTGTGCCCACTCTCCAATCTACACCTTCTCTGTTTCTGTTTAGGAAAGAACAGGTTTCTCATGAATATCCATAAAACATGGCATATCAAGTTGCAGTAAGTTGCTTCCTAAAGCCAGCAAAAGTCTGAGATATTCCTTGTTCCCACTGTAAGGAGGCCAAGAGAATCAATCCACACAACTATAGTATCTGCAGAGGGCATAGGTCATTCCCATGCAGGGTCTCTGGTTGTTGATTCAGTCTCTGTGTGCCACTATAAGACCAGGCTAGTTGATTCTGTGATGTTTTTGTGATATCCTTGTCCCTTCTAGCTCCTACAATCTTTTCTCTCACTCTTCTGCAGGATTCTCTGCCTAATGCTTGACTATGGGTCTTCATCTGTTTCCATCAGTTGCTGGATGAAGCCCCTCTGATGACAATTAGGCTAGACATCAATTATACTCTTTATTGAGAATTTGTATGGTTTCAGTACCATGGTGTCTGTGACTTCACAGAAAGAATTTGGCAATGTTCTTTCTGTTCCTCTGTTCCTTTTTTGTGGAGTAATTGAAAGGGTATTGATATTTAAAACTATCAGGCCATGGACTATTTTTTTTTCTTTTTGGTTGGGAGATTTTAGCTTCTATTTCCTTAGGGGTTACTGGTCTATCTAAATTGTTTGATTTAACTTTGGTAAGTGGTATTTATCAAGACATTTTTTTTTCTTTTAGATTTTCTAATGTTGTGGATTGTGGATTATAGGTTTTTAAAGCATGACCTATTGATTTTCTGGATTTCCTCAGTATCTGTTTTTATGTACCTTTTTTGTTTCTGATTTTGTTTTTTTTTTTAATATTCTTTCTCTGCCTTATAGTTTGTTTAGATAAGGATTTATGTATTTTGTATATTTTGTTAAAGAATAATTCTTTGTTTCATTGATATTTTGTATTGGTCTCTTTGTTTCTAGTTTTTTTTTTTATTTCAGTCCTCAGTCTGATTATTTCCTGCTTTGTATTTCTCGTGGGTCTATTTGCTTCTTTATTCTAGTGCTTTTTCAGGTGCCCTGTTAAGTTGCTAGTGTGAGATCTCTCCTAATTCTTCATGAAGGTACTTAGTGCTATGAACGTTCCCTTAGCACCATTTTCCATGGTGTCCCATAAGTTTGGATGTTTTCTATTCATTTTTATTGCGTTCTAGGAAGTTTTTAACTTCTTCTTCTTCTTCTTTTTTTTTTTTTTAATTTACTCTTTGACCCAGTGGTAACCCAGAAAAGAGTTATTCAGTTTCGGTGAATTAGTAGGTTTTTTGTTGTTGCTGAAATCCAATTTTAATCCATGGCTGTCTAATAAGTTACATACTATCTTAAAAATATTTTTGTATCTGATAAGACTTTCTTTGTGATAGTTTTCAGAATGTCAGTTTTCAGAATGTTCCATGAGGTGCTGAGAAGGGTTTGTGTGTATGTGTTTTGGTGAAATCTTCTGTAGATGTCTGTTATGTCCATTTGAGTCATAATATCTGTTAGTTCTAATATCTGTCTGGTTTTTGTCTAGATAACTTGTCCATTGGTGAAAGTGAAGTGATGCCCTTCTCTGTCTCTTTTGATTAATTTTTTTCTGGAAGTCTATTTTGCTAGATATTAGCATAACTACACCAACTTGGTTCTTAGGTTCATTTGATGGGAAATTCCTTTATGAACTCTTTACTGAGGTTGTATCCATCCTAGACACTGAGGTTTGTTTCTTATCTACAGCAAATAATAAATCCTGTTTTGGTATCTATTTTGTTAGTCTGTGTCATTTTATTGGTGAATATAGTCCATCAATATTGAGGGATATCAAGAACTAAGTATTGTTAATTCCTGTTATTTTGTTGTTGGTAGTGTTAGTGCTAGCATATGTGTGTGTCTCCTCTCTTTGGGTTGTATTAGTGTGAGATTATCTATTGCCTGTGTTTTTGTCAGTATAATTAACTTACTAGGGCTGGAATTCTCCTAATAGTATTTTCTGTAGGCCTAGATTTGCAGGTAGATATTATGTAGCTATTATTTATATTTGACTTTATCATGAAATGTCTCTTTTTCTCCCTCTGTTTTGCTTTATACTTTTGCTGGATATAATCTGGACTGGCAACCATGGTCTGTTAGATTTTACAAGACATTAGTCAAGGTTCATATGGATATTAGAGTCTCTGTTGAGAAATTGAGTGTGATTCTAATAGGTGTGCCTTTATTTGTTGACACTTTCCCTTGCCACTTTTAATATTCTTTTTGCTGTTGTTTTTCTGTATATTTAGTGTTTTAGTTATTATTTCATGAGAGTATTTTCTTTTCTGATCCACTCTATTTGGTGTTCAGTAAACTTTTAATACCTTTATCATTTATGATTTTGTTAAATATATTCTCTGGATTTTTGAGGTTTTTTTTCTCTTTCTTTTATGATTTTGTTTTTTCATAGTGCCCCAGAGTTCTTAGATGTTTTATGTTAGGAACTTTTTAGATTTAACATTTTCTTAGACTGATACATTTCCACTCTCTCATTTTCAAGACCTGAGATTCTCTCTTTCACCCTCTTTTTATTATGTTGGTGATGTTTTCATCTGTAATTTCTTTCAGCTTACCCAAATTGGAATTATTTCCAAGAGTCCCTCAATTTGTATTTTCTTTATTACTTTTATTTTCAGGTCTTTAACAATTTTTCTTCATCTGTTTTTTTTTTCTTGGCTTTCTCTTAGGGATTTATTGATATTATCCGATTTTTGCTTGTTTTTTCCTTGATTTCTTTAAGGTATTTTTTTTTTACTTCTTCTTCAAGGACCTCTATCCTCTTCATGAAGTCAGTTTTATGGTCAATTTCTTGTGTTTTAGATGTGTTGAATTTTTCAGATTTGGCTGTTGTAGGATAGCTTAACTCTGGTGGCACCACATTGCACTTTCTGTTATGGATTTTGTTCTTATACTGGCATTTAGCATTTGTATTTGGTCTAATTATAAGTCTAGGTGTTGGTTACGGCATCTGTCTTTGTTGGATTGGTATTATTTTTTTCCCTGTATCTTCTCTGGTCTTCTAGCCTAAATATTCAAGGGATTTGGTGACTAGACAATAGGGAGTCCCTTCAAAGACTTTGGGATCTTGGGATCCTCAGGTCAAGTGTGACCCTAGGTAGAGCTGACATTTTCATCTAAAGTTGTAAGCCAGGATGTAAAGCCCCAGAATTCTGGAACAGTTGATTGGGCTTTAGGGAGCATTCACAGGTACTGCTGTAAAGTTGTAAGCCAGGATATAAAGCCCCAGAATTCTGGAGTAGTTGATTGGGCTTAAGGGAGCATTCACAGGCACTGCTTGGTGTGTTCCCTAGTATGCTAGATCCAGCCTGGTCTCTTGTAAAGCTGAAGTCTTCTCTTGAAGTTGTGGGATCTTATATGGAGCCCAGGGATTTGGAAATATTCTGAGATTGTTGGGCAGACTTACAGGGATTTAGTTGATGGTGGGTACTATCTTACATGGGGTCCCTAAAATTAGGGACCTCCTCTAAGGCTGCCAGCGCTGTGGGATATAGTATGGAGATGAAGGGAGGGAGTTGAATGAACATTGTTTCTGGTTGCAAACTGAATAATTGACAAATATTTCCTGGGTCAACAGTTTCTAATTTTGTGGTATGAACCATTTGGGCATTGATTTTTATTATGTAAAAACTCTAACTTATTGGTCACTAAAATGTTTTATTTATACTAAAGATTGAAGTTAGTAACATAAAAGTCTCAGATCTAAGAACAATCAAAGTATATTTTTGTTTGTCATAGTAAATTTGATAACATAGTCACTGCTCATTTTTACTTTGTTTTTACTTTTAGGTGTGGCTGCCACTTGTATTTGGATCAATAGTTTTAAGCTTGATTCTACTCCTAATACCAATTATTAAGTCTCCAACGTTAGATCGTTTCTATGAGGTCACCATTTTTTGCAGTGGACTTCCATTCTACTGGATTCATCTTCTTCTAAAGAAATATGCTGGTGCTTTTGATAAAATCACATGTTATTTACAATTACTATTCAATGTTTCCCCAGCTGAAGATCATGATAAATGCTTTTTTACAAAGAAAAACTGACCACAGAGATTTCTGAAAAGAGTAAATTTTGACAAGTAAATTTTCTATGAATTGATGCAATTGTTTATATAATCCTTTATTTATAAATGCATATAATTTTAAACACAAAATTCCACATCTCCTGTATATTATCTATGAGGCAGAGTCAATATTTCCTCAAAGATTTACCTACTTTATATAGAACAAACACAGAAGGGAGCACAAAGTCTGCAAACACAAAATTAAATGACACTGCAATGCTAAATTTTTTTATTTTATAATATACAATGTATTATTTATCTATATCAAAATGTAACCTATCACTTGATATAGATACATTGTAATATATTGATATTAAAATTTATCTATATCAGTTTATATATCATATATGTTTAGATATTTAAGGATAATAAAATGATAATAACACATATGTAATCACAGCTGTGGCAATTCACTCACTAATTTCAATGGTTAAAATAATTAAATATTCAAATAAGTGATACAAAATATAAAAATGTCTATTATTTAAGAACTTGTGTATTATTGAGAACTTAATTCAATATCTTTTCCACTACTGCTTTCCACGTCAAAAATACTTTAAGTATAAATACATGTACACAATATTCAAACTGTTTAAAAATCATATGTGTTCTTTGTTCATTCTTCATCTCTATGAAGACTGAAAATTATTCTGTCAATGACTCAATAAATAAATCATATCTAAATTATTTAATAAATGCTTTCATATATTTATAAGTTTGACTTTTTTGTTTATTTATTTTTTCTCTTTTTAAAAATTCCTTTTACATATCAAGTACAGTTACCCTCCTGCCCATCCTCTTGTTCCCTGTTGGGACCTAATGGAGTCCTGCCCTTCCTACTCACTTCCCCTGTTGGTGACCTTTCTTGCCATTGTTGTTCTGGGTTTCTGAGAAACTAGCAAGTTCCATGCTCTCATAGTTGTTTACCAACCCTGCTTCCTGAGTATGCATTGCCTTGGCCCTAACCTGAGGATCTAGTGATGAGGTCTCCATCCTGCTGACCCACCTGTCTGGGTTTGGTATAAACCCCCTTGGTGATGTACAATAAAGTCTTCTGATTCTGCAACATCCAGAGTGTGTGTTTCATTAATCCTGATGTCCTTTGCTTGGACTTGGCATTCAGCCTGTGCTGGGACAGCAGCTCCCCTCAACCCTCCCATCCCCATTCACTACTCAGAGATGGTAAAAGCGTCCTTACCATGGGAAGTCAACTAAGCCTGGCATATCAAGTTGGGGTAGGGTCAAGTCCCTCCTCATTGAGAGACTGAGAAAGTTTTTTTTTTTTTTTCCCATAGGGAATCAGTTCTAAAAAGATGGTTCATGAACCAGGGATAAGTTCTGGTCCACTTCTAGAGGTTCATCAAGTAGATCAGGCCACACAACTGTCACCCACATTCAGAGGATCTAGTTCAGTCCCATGTGGGCTCTCTAGCAGTGATTTCATAGTCTATAAACTCCCACTATCTCAAGTCAGCCGTCTCTGTGGGTTTTTCCATCATGATCTTCTCACCCTTTGTTTATATAATCCCATCCTCCCTCTTGTTGACTGAATTCCTGAAGTTTGTTCCAGTGCCTGGCTGTGGATCTCTGCATTTGCCTCCATAAGTTACTGGGTGAAGGTTCTATGGCAATTAGTCACCCATCTGATTACAGGAGAGAGGCAGTTCAGATACTCTCTCCAATATTGTTCTTATCTGTGTTCATTTTGTTGATTCCTGGGAACTACCCTAGCACCAAGTTTGTTTCTTAACCCCATAATGCATCCCTGTATCAAGATATCTCTTTCAATGCTTGCCCTCTCCATCCCTGTTCCAATTTGGACACCCTGAGCCCTCATGTTCTCATCCTCTATCTCTTTCCCTCTTTCCCCCACTTGCCTCAAGTTTAGCCAGGAGATGTTTTCATTTTTAGCAGTCTGGGGTCCCATGGTCATCCACATTCAGGCAAAATGCTTAGTCACCATACAGGCTTAGAGCCAGCTTTTATGGGTGTATGATGGAAGAGATAAACAAAAATGTCAAAACTGTCCAAGGCCATCTGACCCACCTCAGCAATTGCCTGTGCTCCCTTGCCACCTGAGGCTTGAAGGCCACCAGGTCCCTGTGTCAAATGTGCTCAACATGGTTACTGGGCTAGGGCTTGCCTTAATCCTCACTTTCAGCTCTCCGGCCAAGTGTCATTGATGGAGGAAGGTAATTGGCTAATAAAGGAACTGCCTTGGCCCATTTTATTGGTTAGAAGATAGGTGGGAGGAGTAAACAGAACAGAACGCTGGGAGGAAGAGGAAGTGAGCTCAGACTCGACAGCTCTCCTCTCGGGAGCAGACGCCTCAGAGAGAGACACCATGCCCTGCTCCCGGGCTGATACACGCCATGAAGCTCCGACCCAGGATGGACTAGGCTAGAATCTTCCCGGTAAGACCGGTTCTCACAGATTATTAGAGATGGGTTGATCGGGATATCAGAATTAGCCAGTAAGGGCTAGAGCTAAAGGGCCAAGCAGTGTTTAAATGAATACAGTTTGTGTGTTGTTATTTCGGGCATAAGCTAGCCATGTGGGCAGCCAGGGTGCTGGGAACGCAGCCCCGCTGCTCTATTTACTACATGTCATAAAAAGGGGTCATTGAGCAATTAATTGCCCCTGTGCACCTCCTGGTATGGGGACATCAAAAGCAAACCAGCCTCTAACAGACCTTCTAATCTGGCCATGGACAAATGTGTATGTCTGGGCTTCCTTGACCTGACCACTGTCATTGCTAACAGGGAACCATAGGTAGATACCATGGTATCAGAGTGGCCCATCTCCTTTCACTTGGGCATGGGAGCCATATATTTAGTACAGAGGGAGTTTTGGGGACCCAACCCTTCTTATTTTTCTATTGTCAGGCTACCAGGACAGCCTTACCTACCTCATTAGACTCCACTACTCAGCTGCACTTTTAGGAATATTCTTCTCATGTATTTATTTTTGGTTGTGCCAAACTGCCCTATAGCCCTAATGGGAAGGAATTTTTCAGCCAAAGTAGGAACTTCTATTTTGTTTGCTTCTCCCATTAGCCGGATTCACAAGCAGCTCCTCTTTTCTTCTCTCTAGCTACCCACCCTACTGATTCTGACATGCCATTTTCTCTGTCAGTCTTTCAATGAACCCTAAAATCTGGGACACCCAGAACACTCTGTTATTAAGCACCATTCCCCCATTGTCATTCAATTACAGGAACCTACCAGGTACATTACCTAAGTTCAGTACCCATTCTCACCCCACAGATATTTTAACCCCTAGACACAAAAGTGAGACTTTCAAAACAGATTTTAATATAACAAGTTTATTTTTGACTACCCGCAGAAATCAGTAACCTGTGTCTCCTGGATGTAAACGTGATACCATGTTGATTAAAAAGGAAAAGGTGCCTTAAAGTTTGTTTCAGTTGGAAATTAAAAGTTTAATTGGCAATTCTTCTCTTTTGCTTTTTAAATGTCCATAACTTTAACACTAACTAATAAAAATCTGTTAAGCTATTAACCTAACTCTAGCAGAGTACTAGACATTCCATTCCACTACTATATTACCATAAACCTGAGCTCAGTATTTTATGTTTCCCTGGGTCCCTTCTCAATATTTTTTTAAAAGTGTATCACTTTTATAAACTTCAAATTCTCATAAGTTCCAGGGAGGAAAACTGGACTCATATGAACAGATCAGATATACTCAAGATAAATATCATTCAACATTTTTCTCATCTTGGGACCCCCTTCCCTTATATTGGGAACCCTATGGAATCCCCCTCTCATCTTGAAATTCTCCTCCCTTAATTACCAACCAGGCTCTATTAAAAAATTTCTACATTTCATCTTCTGTGTTACCAGCATCTTATTGGGTCCCAGCTGTTTGCTAATGATTCTACAGAGCTCAAACCATGAGGAAGACATGGTTACCATAGGACCAGCCCCTAGAGATGACTGATACCCACCAACTCAGCTTGAAGCATTTTCATGAGATACAATGCCTCCATTCTTGCCCACTGGTTACACTTATCCCCCACTTTTAATAATAAACAAAATGGTAAATTTTGTTATTTACATCACATCCAGGGTACCATAGCCATCCACACTCAGACAAAATGTTTCACACTATATGCTAGCATTCCGAGCATCCTATAGTCACACATGCACCATCAGCATTCAAGCAAATTCCCTAGTAACCATAGGGCTTTATGTTCTACGTCATCAATGTGCTGTGCATGGCATTGCTACATAAGCCGTGTGGGCATGCACTAAACTACCTTTAAAAAGTGGGCATGTATGCCCATATACTTTTTCACTACATTTCCTTCAGTCAAGCTTGTGCACACCCACTTTCCTTTCTTTTTATTAGTAAAAATACTTAGAGAGAGTTTTGTTGTATATCTTCTTATCCGTTCTCATGACTAGTAAAATAATTATCTATTTTATCTTCCTCAGGTGGTCCATGCATGTCCTTCATGGGGTTCTCCTTTTTAGCTAGCTTCTCTGGGGCTGTGAATTGTAGCCTGGTTATTGTAGCCTGGCTTTATATCTAATACCCACTTGTGTAACATGAAGGGCCCGGCCTGCTTGTTGTTGGGGTTTCTGTCCTGCCTGGTACCCCACAACTGTTTAACCCCAAAGAAAATCACACACAGTTCTCCATAAATTATAAGCTGATTACCCGTTAGCTCTCTCCTCTTACTGGCTAACTCTCACATGTTGATTAACCCATTTTTCTGATCTATGTTCGCCATGTGGCTCAGTACCCTTTTCAGTGAGGCAGATCACATCTCGCTGCTTCTGTGATCTGGGCACGAGTGGGAGGAATCAACTTCCTCCTCCCCAGAATTCTCCTGTTCTCATTACATCATTTCTACTTCCTGTCTGGTTTTACCACCTATATTTCCTGCCTGGCCAATCAGCATTTTTTAATAACATGATTGATAGAATACAGATAATTCTCCTGCACCACACTTGTGAGTAAGTACATATCATGTTTGTCTTTCTGGGTCTGAATTACCTCACTCAAGATTATATTTTCTAGTTCCATCCATTTACTGCAAATTTCATGATGTCATTGTCTTTTACCACTGAGTAAAATGTCATTTTGTAAATGTACCACATTTTCTTTATCCATTCTTTACTTGAGAGGCATCAAGGCTATTTCTAGGTTCTGACTATTACAAATAATGTTGCTAATGAACATAACTGAGTAAGTGTTCTTGTGGTATGATTGAATATCCTTTGGATATATATTGCTGGTTCTTGAGACTGATTGACTCCCAATTTTCTGAGAAACTCCATGCTGAATTTCCAAAGTGACTGTGTAAATTTGACCTCCCAACAGCAAAGGTAGAGTGTTTTCCTTAGTTTACATCCTCTCCAACATAGGTTGTTATCAGTGTTTGTGATCTTAGCCATTTTGAGAAGTTTAAAATGGTATCTCAGAGTCATTTTGAGCTGCATTTCCCTGATGGCTAAGGATGTTGAGCAAGTCCTTAAATGTCTTTCAGTCATTTGCTATTTTTCTACTGAGAATTCTCTGTTTAGATCTGTACCCATTTTTATTTATTTTTTTGAAAGATTCTTGTTTGTGATACGCAGGGAGGTAGATGATACCTCTAAACAAACTCAGCTTAGCATTATAGTGAGACCCCAAGAGGGTAACAAAGCTTCTTCAAAAGTCTCCAAGGGCCGTCTAATTTGTTTTCAGAACGTCACATGCTGGAAATGATGATGTTAACTGGGAATAACCTCATTTAATCATGATTAGAAATAGGCAGTCTGGAAGGCTAACCCAGCCCATACATCCAAATGTATGTTTTTCTTAACCTTCACAGTATTTACAAATGAAGGCATTCTGCAGGGTATATTAGTACAGGCCGAGGTAGAGGCAGGTGGATCTCTGAGTGCAAGGAAAGCATGAGCTATATTAGAAAAATCCTGTCTCAAAAAAACAAAACAGTCTTATCACAAACGTCTACAATTTTAGACTTTTACCAGAGACACTTCTTCAAATAGAAACTCCTATCCTAATTTTTCTTCCATCGTCCTTTAGCTGGGCACCAGGGTCTGTACTTTTTGGACAGAACATTGTTCAGGGAATGTCTCCCCCTCAGCGGACTGGCGCTCCTTAGCTGCTTGCAGAAGGGCAAACCCAGGCTACCCCTGAAGAGGAATCAGCAGGGCTGCAGTGGAGACCTCTTCTGTTTCTTCTTCTTCTTGGCTCTCTGGTCAGTGTTGATGCCAGCTCTCTCCTTTGCATGTGCCTGACTTCTCTCACCTTCATTCTCTACTTCCCAAGTCCTGCCATCATTATCTTTATCGCTTACATCCAAGACCACCTCCTCAAGACACTTCCGTCTTTTCTTCTTTCCTCTTCTGACTTTTCTCTCTCTTTTTGTTAGGCCATCCTTCCTTTCTTCATCTTGGGTGTCCAAGTCCTCCCCACAGTGCTGCAGCTTCTTGCTGCTTCTCCATGGGTTTGTGCCTGCTCCACTGTCCATTGCCTTTGGCCTGCCTGTCACATTTCTTCCTCCTTTATCACAGACTTCCATCTCCCCCTCTTCTTCATGGTGCTGCCTCCTCTTTTTCTTCTTTTTCCTAGATGACTGATCAGACTGCACTGTGCTCAGCTCTCTAGGCCCACTTTCTCCTTCAGCCTCTTTCTCCTCACTTCCTACAGCCATTCCCTCTTTCTCTTCTTTCCGCCTCCGTTTCTTCTTCCTGCTTTTCTTAACACTCTGGTCAGTGTATTCTAGAAGTGCCTCACCTACGTTCTTTCCAGGTGTTACAGCCTCTTCCTCCTCTCTCTGTTTCCTCTTTTTCTTTTCTTCTTTCGGGAGGGCTCCCTGTCAGTCTGTGGTTGAGAGGTGCCCACATCCTCTGAGCCTTTGAACCGAGCCAGGAAGGCCTGCTCTTGGGCCTCCAGGCGAGCAAGTTTGGCCTTCATTGTGATTCCAATCCGGGCAGCCTTGTGTGCCGTTCACCCCTTACAGGCTTTGAGTAGCATCTCATCAGTCAGAATCTTTGGAGGCAGAGACTCCTGGCTGTCATCACTGCTGCTCGCTCTGTCAGGCTTCTCCTCACCTGAGGTCAGTGTGGCTGTCTTCACAAACTTCTGGTACAGCAGATTGGGCTTGGGGTGATTACGCTGGGTGGTCTCCGTGGAAAGACGACTGTTCTGCACTCCGTCCTTCCCTGTGTCCACTACCAGGCTGGCTGCAGTCTTGTTGAAGAGATCACTCCACCAGTGGTTTGTAAACTCCTTGGCAGGGTCATGTCCCACCCCATGGGTGTCTTGCTTCAGCGTCACCTTGAGGGCCTGGGTGATGCCATTCTTGTTCCGGCCCAGGCCCTTGCCTTCAGTCCATCCATGTTTTAGCAGCTGCTCTTCAGCAAACTTCATCCCGCGACTCTTGACCTTTGGGGTGACACTCATGGTGGGCAAAGTCTTTGTCCTCAGATTCTCACCAGGGAAGACGTGGTACCATCCTTCAGTGCGCGATCCTCTCCGTGGAAGTGTACCCATTTTTAGTTGGATAATTTGCTATTTTCATTTCTAGTTTCTTGAGATCTTTATATATCATAGAGATCAGCCCTCTGTCAGATGTGGGGATGGTTAGGAAATTTTCACATTCAGTAAGTTGCTGTATTGTCTTATTGACTATGTCTTTTGATTTACAGAAGCTTATCAGTTAACATCAGTACCATTTATTGATTTTGTTTTCAGTGTCTGTGCTGCTGGTGTTATATTTAGGAAGTGGTCTCTTGTACAAATGCATTCAAAGCGACTACCAACTTTCTCTTCTATCAGGTACATTGTAAGTTGATTTATGTTGACGTCTTTGTTCTAACTGAAGTTGAGTTTTGTGCATGGCAATAGCTAGGGACCCATTTGCATTCATCTATAGGTCATATGTCCAGTTCTGCCAGCACCATTTGTTAAAGATGTCCCTTTTCATTGTTCCAGTTTGGCTTCTTTGTCAAAAATCAGCTTTCATAGGTGTGTGGATTTATGTCAGGATCTTCAATTTGTTTTCAATGATCCACATGTCTGCTTTAATGCCAATTCCAAACTGTTTTTAATACTATAACTATAGTAGAATATGAAGTGGTGGTTAGTTATACCTAGTTCAAGTTCCTTTGTTGTAGCAGATTGTTTTGGTCATGGATTTTTTCTCCATTTGAAGTTGAACATTGTCTGTGCTGAATTGTGTTGGGATTTTGATAGGGATAGCCTTGAGCCTGTAAATTGCTTTGGTAAGATTGTCATTTTTATTATGTTGATCCTATCTATCCAAGATCATGGGAAATACTTTTATATTTTTATAATTTCTTTGATATCATTCTTCAAAGACTTTAAGCTCTTGCCACACAGGTTCCTCACTTCTTTTGTTACAATTACCCCAAGTTAATTTGTATCGTCTGTGGCTATTGTAAAGAGTGATGGTTCTCAGCACATTTATCTTTTTTGTTGTTGTTGTTAATCTTGTTGCATCTTGCCACATGGCTGAAGATATTTCTCAGCTGTAGGAATTCCCTGGTAGAATATTTGGTGTCACTTATACATATTCACATATCATTTGAAAATAGAAAGAGCTTGACCTTTTTCTTGTAAATTTGCATCCCTTTAGTCTCATTTTCTTGTCTTATTGCTCTTGCTAAAATTCCCAGTACTATATTAAATAAGTATAAAGAGAATAAATAGCCTTGTTTTGTTTTTAATTTTAGTGAAATAACTTTGAGTTTCTCTCCATTTAGTTTGAAGTTGGCTGTCAGTTTGCTGTATATTGCCTTTATTATGTTTAGCTGTGTTCATTGTATCCTTACTCTCTCCAAGACCTTTATCATGAAGGAATGTTAGATTTTGTCAAAGGCCTTTTAGCATCTAATGAGATGATCATGTGTTTCTTTTTTCCTATAAGTTTGTTTAAATGGTAGATTTTATACACAGATTTTCATATGTTAAACTATCCCTGCATCTCTGGGATGAAGCTTGTTTCATCATGTTAATGATGTTTTCAATGTGCTCTTGGATTCAATTTGCCAGTATTATGTTCAATGTATTTGCATCTATGTTCATGAGGGATATTAGTCTGTAATTCCTTTTCTTTTCTGTATCTTCCTATGTTTTGGGTATCAGGGTAACTGTCATGTCATAAAAGGAGTTTGTCAATGTTCCTTCTGTTTTCATTTTGTGGAACAATTTTAAGAGTATTAGCTCTTCTTTGCATTTCTGATAGAATTTTGTGCTGAGACCATCTTTTCCAGGCCTTTTTTTTTTTGGTTAAGAGACTTTTGATGACTGCTTCTACTTACTTAAAGGCTATAGGTCTATAAAGGTGGTTTATCTGATCTTTATTTAATTTTAGTAAGTGGTAAGTGGTACCTATTAGAAAATTGCCCATTTACTTTTGATTTGTCAATTTTGTGGAGTACAGGTTTTTGAAGTATGACCTAATGCTTCCCTGGATTCTACTCTGTGTCTGTTGTTATATCGCCTTTTTATTTTTTCTTTTGTTAATTTTGATATTCTCTCTTTGCCTTTTGGTTAGATCGGATAAGGGTTTGCATATCTTGTTGATTTTCTCAAAAAAAAAAAAACGACTCTTTGTTTCATTGATTCTTTGCAATGTTCTCTTTGTTTCTATCTTGTTGATTTCAGCCCTCCGTTTGATTATTTCTTATTTTCTACTCCTCCTGGCTGTTTACTTCTTCTTGTTCTAGAGCTTTCACTTGTGCAGTTAAATCACTAATGTGAGATTTCTCCAAAGTCTTTTTTTAATTTATTAGAATTTTTTATAAATACCCATCTGTAGAGAGCTGCGTGGAGCCACACCTTAAAGATGGTGCTGGCGTTCACCCTCCGCGATCCCGAAAGTGAGCGCTCTCTGTGATAAACAACCCCATATATGGCTAAGGCCAGGCTCAGGCTATAATCATGCGATGATCTTAAGCTGCTTGCATATGCATGGACCTATGGATGGTGCCCACGTGGCAGTCCAGGGTTAGCGGTCCAGGCCTACTTAAGGGCTGGGAGAGACTTGCCCGGAGAGAGAGAGATTCCATTGTTAACAAGGTCCTGAAAAAACTGCTTGCAAGAAGAGCTCCGGTGTTGCGTCATCCTTGCTGGTCGAGGCTGTCTCAACAAGTGGGCAATACAGGGATCTTCGCTTTCTCTCTGTGGAGCTCAGAACTTGCTGCAGTCAGGGGGTGCACCGGTAAGTCCTCAGGTAAGATCGGGGATCCGCGATAAAAGCGGGTTTTATGCTCTCACCTGTAGGAAAAGGGAGAGCGGAACAGTAGAGCTGCGACAAAAGCTGAGGAGCTAAAAGTGAAACTATAAAAGTCAAATGGATTGTCAAATGGGCACTTCATCTTCGCACCCTTTTTTTTTTTTTTTTTTTTTGGCTTTTAATGAGCTGCTTCGTTTGAAGAACTTAAAAATAAAAAGGAGCACATTGGAAAGATTTTTGAATGGATGTGATGTGGTAGCTCCCTGGTTTGCCGTTTCGGGCAACCTCCCTGTATCATCCTGGGAAAAGTTAGGTAGAGACCTTCATTTCTCCACAGAACAGGGCATGCTGAAGAAAGGAGTTAGACTAGTTTGGACGCTAGTACGCGGTTGCTTGGAGGATCAAAGATGTAGTGAAGCGGTAGAGAATGACCAGGCCGCCCTTGAAATTCTACAGGAGGAAAGATCTGAGAAGGCAGCCTCTGAAAAGGCTATGTCTGACACTGGGTCAGGCAAGGGCATAAAGGAAAGGAAGCCTACAACTTCAAGGCTATATCCTAGTCTGTCCGACATGGAGGAATCAGGTATCTCAGTCCATTTGGGGTCTGATGATGCTGAGGATCAGGAGGGCCCCTACAGGACCCCCCTAAAAACCATCCATAAATCGTTAGATAGGATAAAGATAAAAAGAAAAGAGAGAGAAACAAAAATGCCAACAATTCGAAGGGGCAAGGAGGAGCGTGACCCCCTCAGCCCCCTTCCATATCCTGAGGTCATGGGAGCAGAAGGAGGGATTTCTTTCAGCCCTGGAGTATGGAGAGAAGTTAGGGCAGAAATGATGACGGCATTCCCAGTATTTCAAGATATTCAAGGCAACAGATACCATGAGCCCTTAGATTTCAAAGTCATTAAAACATTGGCAGAGTCTGTCTGGACTTATGGTATTTCAGCCTCCTTTACGGTGGCTCAGGTTTTCGGAAGCCGGATATACTATGACCCCAGCTGACTGGATGAATCTTGCAAGAGCTTGTTTGTCCCCTGATCAATACCTGGACTGGAAAGCCTATTTAATTGAATTTGCCAATGTCCAGGCTGAAGTAAACTTCACAGCTAGAGGAGCCAGTTTGGGACATGGACATGTTGCTCGGACAAGGTAGATTTGCTAACCAACAAACTGGATATCCCCCTCAAGTATATGAACATCTTAACACTATCGCTACCCGAGCTTGGAAGTCTTTACCCAATAGAGGGGAAGTAAGAGGTAATTTGACAAAGATTATTCAAGGACCTACAGAGCACTTTTCTGATTTTGTGGCTAGACTGATGGAAGCAGCAGGAATGATATTTGGTGATCCTGAGAACGCTATGCCATTACTCAAGCAGTTAGCATATGAACAATGTATGAAAGAATGCAGGGCAGCTATCATCCCGTATAAAAACGGGGGGCCAGAATATTGGATGAGAGCATGCAGAGAGCTAGGTGGTCTGCTGACCAATGCTGGATTGGCGGCAGCCGTACTTCGGCTCAGTAAAAACGGAGGCAATACGGGAACTTGCTTTTGATGTGGCAAAACAGGTAATATAAAGTGTAACTGCCCTCAAGGAGGAGGTACTCAGCAAGGAAAAGCCCAGGAATCCGGAAGTAGCCAACGCCCATTTCCAGGACTATGCCCGAGATGTAAAAAAGAAAAGCATTGGGCAAATGAGTGTAGATCAGTAAAAGATATTAATGGACAGCCTCTAATGAATGTTACTATGCCAAAAAACGGGCAGCGGGGCCCCCGGCCTCAGGGCCCTCAAATATATGGGGCAATGGAGGATCAGAATCAGGAGGAGAGTCAGGAGCAGTGGCCAACCTTCTGACACCCCAAGGACTGCGGTGAGCCACTGCAGGTTCAGCGGGATTGGGCCTCCGTGCCACCACCAGACTCGTATTAACTCCTCAAATGGGGGTCCAGACAGTGTATTCTGATTTTCAAGGTCCACTTCAGCCTGGCACAGTGGGGTTATTAATAGGGAGGTCATCTACTACCTTAAGAGGATTACGAGTCCATCTTGGGATAATTGATCCAGACTACACAGGCATTGTTAAAATTATGGTTGAATCACCTAGGGGCATTTCCGCGATTTCCCCAGGTGATAGGATAGCTCAACTTGTTATCCTGCCTAGTTTACATGACAAGCATCCCACTAAAGATATTGAGAGAGGAGACAAGGGATTTGGCTCATCGGGCACTGACTTGACATTTCTATCCTTGGATTTAGATCAAAGG